TCCCAAATGTTTTGAAATTTTCTAGGACACAGACATATTTTAGAGTCAGTTGCTAGTCTTCAAGACTTGCGAGAACTTCCATAGGGCTCATCTATTACAGATGTAGACCAATAATTGGAAGGAAGTCCTGCTGTTGCAACATAAGAATCACCAACATTTTCAGGCCATTGCTTTAAGAGTTTATCTCTATAGTGATGATAACGGGCGTCTTCACGACCCCGGGGGGCTACGTTATCTTTTTCAGATTCTGCTTGTTTTTCATGTTTTTATTTCCGCAGAATAAAAGAATAAAAGCATGACGTCCCGATTCATCGGATCGTCATGAGGGGGAGAGTGGTCCACATGCTGTTAACACTGAACAAATCATTCTGGGACACTTCACTCCTCCATCACAAAATTCAACACCCTCTCTACTATCTCCGCAACTCAAATCAAATGGTCAGCTACACTCACAAATCAACCATCATTATGTTCCGCTGTGCCACCGACAAGTTCTCCTCAAATGCATTCATTCCAAATAGTCAAAAAGACTACATTGTGGAGGAGACAGAGGTCAAATACTCCTGTCCTGAAGATGAATTCCATGGGCGTCTCCTATTCTCCAAAGAACATTCATTCTAGAGGCGTCACCGGACTTCATCCAAGCTGATCAAGAGCAACTTCTGGAAGGCAAGGACTACATGCAAGATACTGAAGGTCCCTCAACCCCCAACATCAAAGATCAAATTGTCAAGAAGACATCAAAGGGGAGATTGCAAGGATTTCTTCAGATAGCCTTCTTCAGAAGTCAAGTTCAAAGACAAAGGAAGCTCAATAACAACAAAGACAAAGATATTTGCGCTGCAATGCTGATTCAACACGATTGATCACCAAGGGGGAGATTGTTGGGAATATTTTATGGTGTTCAATCTAGTTAGTTATCTTTGTATTTGTGTAGTTATTAATTAATCGTGTAATACGGGCCACAAATGTGTATCAGCCCGTGGGCTTCCTTGTAACCCGTAAGTTAGGCAACTTCTCCTATAAAAGGAGGCTAACTTACGGGAACCTAATAAATCGTGAGAGGCTAAGAGACGCAGAGGCGAGATAGAGAGATATTAGGGTTGCCGCTGCTCTCCTTCTCCAGGGAGAGTAGCGGCAGATTCATACGGTATATCAGATTCACGTTCAATCTTGTCGATTTCTTTCTATCTGCTTCTTTATCACTGTTATGGTTGTATGATTGTTAGTATTTTGGGACTAACACACTTCAAATTCATAAATATTAAGTTTAGTCTTGTTCTTTCAAAAAAAAATTGGTCTTGTTGCGAAATTTTGAACACATTGCTACATTTTTTGATTTAGTCTTGTAAAATTGCAAAAACTCAAATATGATAAAAATTGGATATATAAACAAAAAGGTTAAGAAAAATTTACATTAATTTTCATCTAATTTTTTATTTCATTAAATAAATTTATTTTAAATACGGAGTATAATTTTTCTATAATTTAGCAGAATTAGAAAATTTAATCAATTCAGTCAGAATTTCATAATTTCGGCAGTTTTAATTGATTATGTCAATTGTAATGTTACTTAACGGGGTCTTATGAATAAGTACCACTTCAATTGACTTCCATGATTGCCACTTAAGAGAGAATGAGTTTTCATGGGTGTTTTTTAAAGGGTCGGCAAACCTGTTCGGTTTGAGTAAACCAAATTGTACCAAATTGAACCGAAATCAAATCGTACGCAATTTCGTTTGAATTTAGTAGTATGGTTTTCAAATCAAATTAAATCAAACTAAAACAAATTGAGACCGTGAGAAATCGAATAAGGTCGAGCTGAACTCAAATAGTCAATAAATTCTTAATATGTTTTTAAACATAACAAATTCAAACCGAAACGAACTGAATTAATCCGAACTAAACCAAAACATATTATGATTCCAATCTGTTTCAAATCGAATCTAATTGATATTAAAACCGAATTGAAACTGATGTGCTCACCCTATTGTTTTTTTAATATAAATTTGTTACTCAATGAGTTTTATTTTATAAGAGAAATAACTCTTTTTAGTCTAAAAAAATATGTTCATTTAAATTGAAGAAACTAATGTTTTATGTTTCTATTTTCATCTATAATCTACATTTTTATCCACTTAATTTTTGTAAATTCGGGCTACTTTTTCGTATCCATTGAATCTATAAGTTTTAAAGATGAGGTGATGGTCCCTTTTAGAGGTTAAAGTCTAGAGGGAGGGGGGGGGGGGGGGGGGGGGATGAATAGACTTTTAAAGCTTTTTGGACTTTAAAAAATTTTCCCTGCTAGATAGGTTGGTCTACAATATTCTGGAAGATTGTAGATGCACAGCGGAAGTCTTAACCTCTATATCAGTATGAACTTTCTATCTTTGGGTAAGGATTTGGCTTAAACAGTGATAGGTTGCTTAGCAGTTAGGTGAAAATTAGGGAACTGCTGAGGCAACTGTTGGGGAAATATATACCTTGTGACGAAATTAATTATGGATTCTTACTCAAGATAATGAGGGCAATCTGGAGATGTATAGAGCTGAGTGGAAAGTGGGAGTTTATGATTGCAGTGGTCTGAGCAGTGGGGTGGTCCCCAGAAAACTGTTGAGGCAACTGTTTGATAAAAGATGAGAATATGAGAGGGCTGATTGTAGAAACTTACTTAGAATGATACGAGCTTCATGGAAATGTGCTCAACTGAGTTTAAGTGGAAGTTAATGGGAGCAGTGGCCTGAGCAGTTGGGTGATTGCCAGGGAACTGCTGAGGTACCTGCTGAGTTATGATTCCCAGAAATCTGTTTGAACAAACTTCTTTGTAGTGATTTAGTAAGATTACTGCAATGTAGAGATGTGTCAAAGAAAGTATGTAATTAAGCAGTAGGCTGAGCAGTGGCGTCAGATGAGGCTACTGCTGAGGATGCTGCTGACAGACTACTTTCTTTAATGAGAAGTGTTGGGTGTGTGCTTTGTTGACTGAAATTAAATCAACACATAGTATATCCTGGTTCAAAGGTGGTGTAATCCTCCTACGTCCAGTCCCACCCTCTTTCAGATGGATTTCCACTAAAGTATTAAGCTCAATACACTTAGTGCCCAATCTAGCCTTTACAACCTAGATTGAAAGGTGTTTCACAAGGAGTACACATCACTCCAAGTTACTCAATCCTTAGGTTTTTCTCTATTGATCCAGTGGGGATCAAAAAGTACTCTATCCTATCTAACTACACTTAGGATTGGAATGACTGTTCTTCTGAGTGTTTACAACAATATATTTTGTGATTTGTTTCAAGAGTTTCTAACCTCCAACTAGGAACTAAACTTCTAGAATTTAGCAAAGATAAATTGTAACTTGGAAGTTTAGTGAAACATGAGTCCAACTAGAGGATAAAGTTAGACCATCACTTTCTCCTTTGCTAGATATCTCTTAAATGCTCAGTGAGAGTTTTTCTCTACTTAGGATGCTCAAAGCTTGGTTAGAAACTCATGTTTCGTCCTATATTTATAGGCTTCTCTAGCCGATCAATCTTATCCGTTGGTTAAGATAAGTTGATCTGTATCGTTGAGGGAGTTGTACTTTTGTCTTCATGTACTTGATTTAGCATTAACTGCCAATCAAGTTTTGTCTTCAGTGATTCATATGCAATGAATGTGGCTGTACGTACTTGGCCTTTTCACATATAATTTTTGTGTCAAATAAATGATACTGGTAGGATTTTAAATATCCTTTTTAAGGTAAAAAGAATTTTACCTTGTTGCATTATTTGATTTCCAGTATATTTTCATTTATCACAAAAATTGTACATTTTGTTTTTCTTGTGTGACGTTTTTAGTACGTGTGACCGGGTTAATTTTTATGTCCAATAAATTTATACTGGTAGGATTTAAATATCCCATTAAGGTAAATTGAAAATTACCTTATTGCATTTTTAATTTCCAGTGTAATTTACTGATCGCAAATATTGTACAATAATTTTGTCACTTAATGATTAATTTTGAACACAGATACTTTAGGTAAATGAGACACAATGTACAAGAGCAAAGTATAGTGACATCATCAAAATGTTATCAAAATTGGGTACTAACATGAGGTATTATATCTACGTAATTATAAATTTAAATAATTTTCTAGAATTGTAATTGGATTCAAGTGTTTATGGACGTTGATAATGAACTCCTTAATTTGTTCAAATTTTATGTGTATTTACCCTTGTGATCGCATACATGTGGTACGACAATATATATGGTCCATAAAACGCATATCTTCATTATAATTCGAGTAAATTTAACGTTGGTCTAATATTGTTCATCGTAAAAAGTCGATTTTCTTGTAGTTGATTGAATTGTATGCCCGTTTTAATTATATTATTATAAAATTGATATACTAAGTTATTGTAGCTCAATTTCAGTAAAAAAATTATTGTATCTCGATCATTTGGGTCTCATGCATTGTATCTCAGATTCAAACATCTCCTTTAGTATGCATTGCTTATCATATATAATAAATAACTTAATTTAATGTTATGACTTGAAGAATGATTCAATGCGGGCATAGGCGGGAATAATTGGAGAAATCCAATGTCCACCCAATTCCTTTATATTATATAAAGATTTTGTAATCTTGAACTATTTATTGTCATACAAAATATGTAATTCTATTGTGTAAAGAATACAAAAATTAATTATTATTTTTTACATTGCAACACATATGTTAACACTTTTCCAAAAGAATCTTGAATACGATAGTACATAGTAAGTTTTGAAATAATATTTTATAGTAACAATATTAAATTATGATATAAAAAATGAAAGAGAAAATTGGACACAAGTAGTTTTTTTTCATCAAATTTATAATTATTTTTGGTGTTTTTTGAAATTTATTTTATTATTTAAAGTTAATAAGGGTAAATTTACTCCTTTATAAGAACATGAGAAACATTTTTGCACCTTTTAAAAGTTCAAGATATATATATATGCAATCCTCCTAAATTTTAGGAGCATATTTGTTCAAAACCTTAGAATATCCATACATTTGTTCTCACACTAATGCTAAAGGAGTATATTTGTAGTTTTTTCTATATATTCCCTAATAAAGATTAGTTTTTATTGGAACTGAAACTTTAGAAGTATGGAACTGGTATTAATAAAGAGTAGTTGACAGGTAAACCAGATTCAACCCATATCTACTGGTTCTGCGTTTCGTCTCAAGCTGAAGAAAGATGGGGAAAGCCCAAGCCTTCAAACAACAATTCACACTTGGTTTATTCCTCTCTCTAATAATTATTTCCCCAGTTTTAGTAAGTCATATTTGATTGTTAATCCCCCCCTAATCACCTAATCAACTACAGATGAACGGCTGCAAGAATCGCAAGATATGATCGCCAAATATCCTGATCGTTTGCCTGTACGTTCCCCTCCTCTTATCCAAGCTATACTGTTCTTACTCTTCGTTTTTTGGTGACCATTTCTCAGTTCGGCAAAACTTATAGTCAAATTGTGAATTCTTTATGATGATCTGTTAGCATTAAATAGTCAAATTTGGGGATTTTAGGTTTAGCTGAGCTGGATTTCGTCTGCGTATACCTTACTGGTTGTTACTGGAATACTGGATTAGTGTGATCTATAATTCTCAATAATTTAGCACAGCAAACAAGATAAGTTTTAAAGCATTAGTGCTTTGCATAATCTTAATAGTCGAACTTCATTTTCTAACGGAGACTCTGCAATAATTTCAACATTAGTACTACTAACTGCCAGCAGTGATGTAGTGCAATACCCGTAACTACTGATAATTTCCACAAATAGGGACAAATAGCAAAAGATGTTGGGGTAGGGGAGAGAAGAAGGGGATAAAGGTAATAGAGGAACTGTATTTAGAGAAATTTGGAATAATAGGCATTACATTGTATTGTATAAGGAGTGTTTCTGATTGCTTCTACTTCAAAAATGTGATTTTAGAGAGTGATTAATTGTAAAAGTTGGCAGTGTTTATAAAATAAAATGTTTTTGAAAAGTTGACTGTTTATAAAAAAATGCTTTTGTAAAAGTAAGAGTGTGTAGTGTTTGGTAAAAAAGTGTTTTTCGTGTAATCGAAAAAGTGAAAAACAATTTAAAGCTATCACCTAACAAACACCTATTTCAGCTTTTTTTAAGCCAAAAGCTCAAAAACACTTTCATTAAGTTTTCGCAAACACTCCCATAGTCCTTTGGTACTCTGCACGTCTACATCAGAATCCATATAGAACCTCCATGTACAGAATTTCTTGCCTGACAAGGAGCTTCCTTGTTTGGTCTTAATTCCCCAAAAGTTACAGGCGACCTTTTGGAGAGTTTCTGATGGAGATGACCTTTTAAGGCCACAAAAATGCTTGCGAGATGCTATTAGGGTTTGATTTACGTGACATGAGTTCTCTTGATTCATATCCCCTACGTATGTCTTTTATGCTGCTCAAATCCATGCCATAACAGTTTCTATGCGCATCACTATGCACCACAAATCTAAAGTCTCCAGACTCAGCAATAGGAGTTCTCCCCACTTTTAGTCCTTTTACCAGAGTGACAATGACTCTTGGTACTTGTCTTCAAAGCTTTCTATATCTAGTCCTTTATTATTGAAACATAGATATTTTTGTACCTCACTGACTTTTTTACCTCAAGTCCTCAACCTACTGTGACACATTTGACGTTTTTGGTCCTCCATATCTGTATGGGGGCTGAGTCCACCATCTTCATCATTCATATTCATAACTGGTGGAATCACATCAAAAGTAGATTGAATAAATGAAATATGAGGACCTACTAATGCATATTTAGACCCCAGACTTTCTATGGTAACCCTCTTTCTCTCTTCACAGAATCTCTGCCACACTCTTGAGCAAATGAATTTAACTACAGTCTGGCCCTTCAGTAGTTAAATAGTTACATTGCTTCATTCTCTTGCACACCTTGGTTAAAACTGAATTCACAGATAAGTATGTGTTTTCCATTCATAAACTTCAAAGAAACCGTATGTGAATCTTTCAGTTAGATGTTTTTTTCATTCAAATGTAGAGTTTCTCCATTTCGTGTCTACCGTTTCTTGGTTCCTAGATTTCTGTGTCCGTGCAAGGTAGTGTAGGAGTGCATCTAAGGTTACAACTTTATCCTCCTTTTCTATGCCCTCTTTGAGACATTAGAGCTAATGACAATTTTAATTATTAGCTATGTAGCATGGAAACTCAGGAAAAAGTACGTTTCCGTTTCGCAAAATCTTCGGAAACTCTCTAAATAAGTGTTTTTGAGCAAAAGTTGGCATTTCCCGTTTTCCTTTTTCTCATGATTTTTGCGTTTCCGTGCAACATAGATTATTAATAATATACTCATGAAATTTTGTACTTTAATTGTTGGTTCCAACATTTTGTTATTGACCATTGGAAAGTGTTGGAGGGAGGCATATTGTTAAATCCTGCCAAAACTTGGATCGCATTGAATATTCGATGTGGTTCCAAAATTGCCAATCTTGGGCCTCTAATTACTGAGAAACAACAAGAACTTGAAGGCGCAATGCCATCTCAAGCCATGCTTCATTTTTGTAATTTTTGCAGGTGGTAGTTGAAAGATATTCAAAAACTGATCTCCCTGAGATGGAGAAAAAGAAGTAAGCAATCGCTTCTTGCACTTTTTTTAATGCTGGTTTTTGGCTTGCTGATGACTTTCATTCCCTGTGTCATTGTGATGGGTAGATACTTGGTACCCCGAGACATGCCTGTCGGACAGTTTATCCATATTTTGAGTGCCCGACTCCATCTGGCCCCTGGGAAGGCTCTGTTTGTATTTGTCGAGAACACCCTGCCTCAAACATGTGAGTGTACTTCTCATATATTTTTTCTTCATCAAATATTCATTCACGGGTCGCCGTACTAAGTGTCAATGTACATTGTACTCATTCTTTTTTTCCTGTGGTATCCTTTTGCAGCTGCATTAATGGAGTCTGTGTATGAATCGTTTAAGGATGAAGATGGGTTCTTGTACATGTGCTACAGCAGCGAGAAAACCTTTGGTGCCTTAACTCCTCTGTATTTTACATAACATAGTTATGATGAGTGGACAGACCGTGTTTACTTTCATCTGTACATTTTCTTAAGTTGTGTGCATATTTTTAATATAATAATATTCCACTCATCTCATATTCATCTGTACATTTTCTTAAATAGTGTGTGCTATGCCAAATTTGTCCATTTCTTGGTGCTCAAAGTTATTTGTACTAATTCAATATCAATCATACAATTCTTCTTTTCCTCAATAGCAATGCCAAACTTTCTCAGATTAAGTTAGATGGGTATGAACTTTATTATGGGTAAATGCTTAGGCAATCTTTTTGGATGAGCTGTATAAATTATAAATATACTATAACCAAAAGTGTACATAATTCAAGGGGCATACCCCAATACAACAAACCCATCAGTCGGCAAAACTCATACCAAACCTCCAAGGAAACAGTAATAGTAATAGAAAGTAGAAACCAGCCTACCAGTTTTGCAAAACAATGAAGGACTGGTCAAGGTGCATGTACTTATTTTTAATATTTATGCTGAGTTAAGTGATAATTATACTCTAATTATCAGTATTCTAGTCAAGCTCAATTTGTTTAAAAATTGAGCATCTACAAAACATGTTTTCTTTTCGTTTCTCTTTTTGGTTGAAGGATATACTAACTTTGCAATATTCTATTTAGGTGTTGAAAATATGCTCAAATGTTTTATGTTGATCGCAATATGAGGAAGATAATGGAAGATTCTTGTAAAGTTGCTTCCAGCGATGATAGAAATGCTCACTAAAATTTTGTTTATTTATTTCCACAATGCCTGGTAAGCTTTATATGTACATTAAGCTAAAGTATGCCTGCATGTTTAACATATGGATTAAGAAAATAACATCGACAAAATCTAATTAGAAACGCGCAATCAAAAGTCAAAGTGGATCCAATTAGGTTCATCAAATTGGCCTCTTAACTTCTCACCGTTGCTCATACCCGCCAAATCCACCTCAGCTATTGGGTGCCACGCTGGCGTGCCATTTTCATATCCATTTGCCGTTAGCCTCTGCAGTGAAGTGCCATCTAACCTTACAATGTAGAGGTCGCCGTACGGCTGAAACTGGTTGGGCAGTGATACCGGTTCTGCTGTTACTCCGCTCAAGTTGGCCGTGAACAACATCCACTTACTGTCCGAACTGAAACAAACATGATTCATTCTCTCCCTGCTGTTCACCTCGTCAAATCCTTCCGGCCTAGCAACGTGAATCTTGCGAAGATCAGTTCCGTCGGGACGAATGACGTAGATGCTAAACTGAGTGGCGTCGTCTGGGTCGTGTCTGTTGGACGAGAATGCAATCAGTTTGCCGTCAGGTGACCAGCTAGGCATGGTATCGATCCAAGGTCCATCTGTTAACTGGCGGATTCCGCCGTCTAATTCTCCATTGAGGGAATCCATTACATAGAGATTCTTGTATCCTGATCGACCAGACCGGAACACGATGTGTTTCCCGTCCGGTGAGCAAGATGGAAAAGCGTTATTGCCTGTGGATTCTTTCGTCAAAATTTTGATGCTCGCAGGGACATTTTCTTGAGAATCGTTAGTCAAGTCCCTGGGATCGAAAGTAACACGGGCTATCTGGACAGAAGCTTTAACAGACTCGAATATAGGCCCTATTGACGTGAAAATCACGCCGTGCTCCGCCGGGCTCCAGGCGTTGCCGAACGCCGTGCGGCCATTGATTAACGTCCACCTTTTAGAACCGTCTGACCTGACAATGCTGAGGCCGTTTGTGATGGTCGATTGGGAGTCCAATTTACGACTATACGCAATAAAATACCCCGATGGAGAGAAAGAAGGGAATGATCCATTCAGTCTAAACATCCGAAGAGTGTTCACCCGAGAAGTTACCAGATCCAAATTTGGAATTATGTCTTCATCATGCTGTACCGATTCTCCTCTGAATCGATGGTAACCGAGCACATTTGATCCTGGAGAGAGAAACGGGCTGTAGTGGTTGCAGTTAGGGTTTAGTAATTCGGTGACCGGATAAAATTCACCTGACTCCGCATCAAAAATTTCAATGTGCCGGTAACTACTGCCCCGCCGTCTGGTTGCGGTTGCAATTCTAGTTGAATTGTGCACTGCTGCAGGGGTGAAGCAGTGAAGGCCTGGTGGAGTTACTCGAACAGGGGCGGCGTATGAGCATTGAGCTGGATCATCGGTCCATGTAAAATTTTCCGGCAAATTGAACTTGTAAATACTCCACCAGCCGTCTTCGGCTTGGCGGTGAAAGTAGACGGTCTCATCGCCGGACCACGAAGGCCAACCACCGTGCTGGCACAGATGAATCCGCCTTGCGGGATCTGACTCTGGAAAAACAACGATATCCGTTTGGAGATCGTGAAACTCACCTGCCCAAGGACGAGACCCGTAAGACGCGACGGCGATGAATTTGCCGGTTTGAGAAACGGAGGGGCTGAAATCAGCTTCGCCGTACGGCGTCAGCCGAGTGATTTTCCTCTGACGGAGATCGGTGGAGTAAAGAGCTGACCAGCTCTTGAAAAGCTCCGCGGGAGGTTCATGAGCAGAAATATAAAGCAGCTGCTGTCCATTCCTGATGAGAGGACGGTCATGGAAGACGCTTTCGGAGGGAGAGAGTAACTGCTCCGGCTTTGAGAGATTTTGCTGCATGTAGACCCGAGACGATCCGGATCTCTCTGAGACAAAGACGAACGTGTGTCCTTCGTCGAGGAACTGGCCATTGAAATTAACAGAGACGCCGTCGGTCAGGCGTTGCTCGGAGGCCTTAGACGGAGTGGAATTGAGTTGGTCAAGAGCTGGTGGAAGTTTGACGGAGAAGATATCGAAGCCGTATTGAGTTCTGCCTACGGTGGAGAAGACGACAGTTCCGTAAGGATCCATATGTACTTAACTGTTATCCTTTGTTTTACGAGGAGTGGATGAGCAAGGAAGATTTGGCGAAGACTCGGTGCTGCTGACTTGCTGGTAAGGCATGCATTTGTATGAAACAGATAAGATCATGGCTACCATATTATTGTTATTGTTTTAAGCTAGATAAAGAATGATATAATTGAATTATTTAAATCCAAATTAAAAATGATGTAATCATTTGAACCAATCAAGTGAGTGGTAGGTACGGTACCTCATTTTTAAAATGGGTACAGGAGCTGTCACTCATATTGCACAAAAAAAAACAAATTTTTTTTGACTCATACTGCACTCATCATCGGTATAAGCGGTAGACGAATTGATTTTGTACAGTCGCTAGTATAAACTCTCGATGTAAATCGTAAAAAAATGTAAATTGAACTATAATCTCAATTTGATAGATAGAGAGTGAGACTCTGTCCCCGTTACTTGTAGAGGTCCTATGCATTTTTAGCATAGTAACCCTTCATCATAGTTGTCGTGATTCGAACCTGGAACCTAACCCTTGTGGCACTCCCTTGGTACCAATTGAGCTACGCCCACCGGTTCATGTAAATCGTAAATTCTATGTGGAGGCGCAGTGAGAATGGAAGCTTAGGGTGAACTGGTTCAAAGATTTTTTTTAGATAAATTTTTACACATATATTTCGCACCAAAAAATATAAAGAACACAAAACTTTTAAATTTAGGATGAGCTGGCCGGGGCCTAATTGACACTCCTCTACCTCTGTCCTGTGCTCCTGATTGTATGAATGGTCTCTGAGACTCCGACTGATAAAATTTTAAAAACAATTTTGTTTATCCCATAGATAAATTATTCTTTCAGTGTTAGAGATAGTTTGTCATAAAAGTGACAAAAATGTTAGTTAAAAACAACTTCGATTCAATTTAATTTGGTTTGAATTTAAGAGCTCGTTGGGTAGCACTAAAATTAGCTGAATCAGCCGATTCTGTTGAAATTTATGAATTTCTGACTAAAGTGACAGAATTGACTGACTTTGCTGATTTATGAAAAATTATATTTAAAATATTTTTATTTATAAAAAAATGAAAAGATCATTTGAAAAATAGCTAAAATGATCCTCAAAAAAAATTTCTCCCAACACACTAGAAAAGTGACTTTAACCTTACTTTTTCTTATTACTTCCTCCATTCCCTTTATAATTGTCCCATTTTTTCATATTTTGATGTCACTTTATTATTGTCCCATACAATATTTGGTAACATTTGTGTGGTTATGATTCATTCTTACTTTATTTTCACTTTATCAACTCATTACCAACCACATAATTCTACTTTTCTTAAAAAACCACACCACTCCCTTCCGTACCAATATTAGGGGGACGGAGAGAGTATTACACAATTCAGCGCGTGGAATAAAAAATTACGTGTTTGGTAAAAAAGTTGACTAATAAGTCTAATAAACCAAAAAACAGAGCAATCAAACGGGCACTAATACTAGTACTCCCTAAGTCTCATAAAATTCTTCTCACTTTCCTTTTTAGGCCGTCCCAAAAAAAATCTCACTTACCATTTTTGGACAATTTATGTGGTTCACATTCATTTCACATTTTCTTACACAACTACAACCACATTACTGAGTAGTTCACACATTTTATAGACCCACAATATTCTCTGATTCAATTTTTGTTCCACGGTCATTATATGCAATGTGATTGTTTAACGCTCGACAGATTGATTGCTCCTGACACAACCACGTAATATTGACAGTAACTACTAATAAGTGTTTTTAACAACAAACCATGCAACACGGGACACCAAATATTTTTGATTTCATTTACATTCATGACACAACAAGTCATGTTTAGGTATTCTAGTATCCGTAATTGCAGTGGCTAACGTCTTAAGGTGTTAAGAAATGCTTCGAAATTAACATCTTCTGTCCCGCACTAACTCGTGTTAAAATTAAAATCCTTCCTTCTAGTAAATTCACCCTCACAATGCACAAATGATTTAGCAAATATTTTTTTCATTTTCTAAATGATTGCCCGGGTAAACATGCAAAATAGGGGGTGTGTTATGTTATTTTTAAACTATACTTGAATATAAATTTGTGGAAAGTGTTTAAAGAGATCCTTATATTATTGCACACATGTGTGTTGGCCATATACGAAAAAAAGTAATGGTGTCATTAAGTAGATTTTTTTAAAACACATTCAATCAAGGCATTGTGAGCCACTATGGTGGTTCATTTTCTAAATAACTTCACATAATTGAATTTTTTTTATAAAAGCACATATGCATTTTCAAAATATATAAATAAAAGTATAAAAATGATAAAAATAATGTCAAAATTGATAAATACTAAATCCGTTTTCAAATAAATAAAACACATGAAAACCTACATCATATAGAATTACAATGCAAAATTCTTAAAATGTAGAATATACAAATAATTAGAAAAGAGCGAATAAAATATAGATTTTATATTCATATTTTTTTCTATTTTTTATATAAAAAAAATACATCCCAAATAGGAAAGTGTAGCAAGCTTTAAAATACGGAGGGAGTACTCCTTCATACGTATTAACTTAAATGTCCAAATTTGGTCATTCATCTAAACTGAAGAAACCTTAAGCTATTTGTACGGGCCGATCCAGAGCAGCCTATGTGTTCTCTGTGTTCAGTTACTAAACGGGCCACGGAAGTAGCCCAATAATCTATGTAAACCCCTCCCAATGTAAGTGTGTTTATAATGACTCTAAAAATGACCCCTCCCACAAACCCTCCCCTTTCTTCTCCGACACCTAGCCAGATTGACCTTCCCTCTCTCTAAACTCCGACCACGACGCTCAACCGCAATTTATCCAATGATTGGAAAAACGAAGTGGTCGTCGAACATCATCGTCATGTTCTCATCCCTTATCCCACCGTGAAGCCACAACCGAACGAACATCGACACAATACGGCGTCAATCTGCGCATTTAGTCAGATTGCACGGTAAGTTCATTTTCCTTCTTCTACATGCAAGCCTTTGTCGATTTCATGTTTTCCAAGAATAACCAAACTAAAACTTTTTTTTATAACTACAACACACAAACTTTACAGATCTGGAAGTTCCATGACCATGGATCCGTAAACGTTTCATTCTTCCGCCTAGATTTACATGTCAGGGGTAAGATCTAAATCCAACCACCTCACAAACCACATCTCGCTTTGACGTTTACCATGAATAAGCAACGACAAACCGATTTTATATGAACAACATCGTCCAAAGCCCACAGATTTGGAAGATCCGTGTTAATGTTTCTAATCGATTTTCATTTCTAGATTTGTTTTGATAATTTTTTAATAAAAGATTAATCTCATTTTTTTATATAAATCGATCATCAAATACACATTTTTTTGAAAAATATGCATCCTAAAACCGACTTTATGTGAAGCACATCATCGAAACTCTACAGATCTGGACTCCATACGTTTATAGTTAAAAAAAATTTCATTTCCAGTTTATGTTGATAATTTCCGATGGATAATTTTTTAACAAATAAGCATCCTAAAATTATGTTTATCATTTTTCATTCTCCAAAAAATATGGATGATGTTTGTTTTCATTTTTAACAAAACACACTTAAAACATTTTTTAAATTTTTTTAAAGACACTTTAAACACAACACTTCCACCAATTTTAAAAATGGTACACTTGTACACACGTGCGAACAAACATGTCATGTGTCATTAATAGTAACCCAATCTCATTAAATACAACTACACCACCTACCTTTAAATATTTCGAACTGTTGGGAGACCGATGAACTCATTCATGAGGTTGAACAACCCGAAACCTGAATCGCCATAAACGAATTCCAAACGGTTATTGCGTACCCATTATTTGTCCCCAACATCCAATCTCCACTTCAGCCCTTCTCGACCCAGTATATCAAAAGACAACATAGATGTAACACACAGCAAACACATAGACTTCTATGAATTTGATAATTTTAAGACGACCTTTTTTATTTAAATAGCACAACTCTAACAAATACAACACTTTATTTAAAAAATATCCCTTCCATCAATGTCTTTTGAATTATTTCTTTTTGTCCAACCTACAATTATAAAATTACGATATGTTTTTTTCAACCGATTTTTGGTGAAATCAATTGTTACAAAATAATACTACCAACTTGAGCAATAATATATATTTATTGATATGGGAATGAATGAATGTGAAAACCTTTTTACATCCACATTGCTTTTATAGCTGAAAGTGCATTGCAATCTTTTAGGAATTTGGAAACAATCTATAAGCTTCATTATGGCCACCATCCATTTCAACTAATAAGGTTTAAGTATTTGACTATTCCCACCACCCATTTCAACCAATAAGGTTTAAGTATTTGACTATTCCCACCACTCATTTCAACTAATAGAAAATTAGTATTTTAATCAAAATAAAGTATCCAATAAAAATTAAAATAAAATTTGATGTTGACATTTCTTGGAGGGAACACTATTCCACAAACTTCTTTTCATTTTATATTAGAATAGATATCACTTCAGTCACAAGTTTTGTAAGCCCTATTTGTTTTCCGAGCTCTCATATGGTATCCTCATGTGAGGATGACTAATTCTGTATCCGATTATTTTAATATAGGTGATTTACTTTCAAAAAGTTACTGTAATATTAATGAAATTTAAAAAGGATAAGGAACCGAAATATGAAGAGGTGGATGTGTGGAGTGGTTCGTTTTCATACTTCACAGCCAGCTAGCTGTTGAACTTGAATGTACTACGACTTATTTTTGGCGTGGTCCCTACATCTAGCTTACACCGCCTGTCGCCAACTAACTGATAACATCCCCGGCCGCCGGAATGTCTGCAATCTCTGCCGCCTTACCGGTCCCGACTCCCGCTTCCACCTCGGTAAACAGCGTTGGTAATTTCCATCAGACTCTTTTCCCGTTATTCACCGATAGGACAAGAAAGTCAACTCCTCCTATAGAGTCATCACTCATCAGCAGATACAGCAACCATTGCTTTCTCTTCCGGAAGGTCTCTCGGCGATCAACCCCAAGACTTCGATTCCTCTTCTCCCCCGTCATGAAATGGCAAGATTGCAAGTAATCTTCTTCAATTTCTATCAATTATTGGAGTATTCTTAGTATAAACTATGGTGTTAAGCTCAGAATAGTAGTAATGATATTAATAGTGGTTTATTTATAAAATGTTAAGAGTAGTAATGCAAATGAACGATATTAATACTATAGTAATAAATTATACCCATATAGAGTGGACAACACCATCCAATCTATATTTGTTACATAACTCGGGTTCCATTGTCAAATCGAGGAGTAATCCATAATCTTTTTTTTTAGATTGAGTAATCCATAATCTTATATAATGTTCTATTGTTTTATAACAATATGGTGTGAGACAAATACTTCAACACGTCCTTTAGTCCAATTCGGGTCGGGCAACATCGGACTATATAAATGGATCAATCAAACTTTTAACGAGCACCTTCGAATGGCTCATTTTTGAATGAAGTGGCAGAAAGGGTTACTAATGTATGATGGATCTCATATATGCAGGGTGAAGATGGACATAGATGTACCCTCTTCAATTGCTTATAAATGCTATGCCGATCGTGAAGCAATTCCCCAGTGGATGCCTTTTATTTCGTCTGTGAAGGTTTGTGCTGCTAGAATGTCTTGTATTCATTCAATTCTCATGAAGCTGCTTTAGTAAGAACTCATTGGTATTAGGTTTAGGAACACTTGATTTTGATTTCTCTTTATCAACACTCTTGCGCCTGAATATGAGTTAGTGTTTCTACAAGTGGCAGTTGCATCGAAGCTTTTAAATTTGATACTTTTTTGCTGTAGTCACTCTTATATATTACAGCACTAACCTTGCTCCCATCATGCTTTGGAGTTTGGAATTTGCTGCTAAGAGAAGTTGATTTAGATTGTAATATCAGATTTTAGAAGATAAGCCCGAACTATCTCGATGGTCACTCAGTTATAAAGCATTTGGACAGAATATTGAATTCTCTTGGCTTGCCCATAATATGCAAGTAAGGTTTTCTTTCATGTCGAACCTCAGTCTTAACTTTTTAGTATCTTTCAAGCACACTGTGGCACTGCCATTCGACTCTTACAGGTGGTGTTTTTCTGTTTGTGCACAGCCTATTCCAAACCAGAAAATTCACTGGAGATCCCTTGAAGGTCTTCCCAACAGGTACTGAATATCATGATGTCAATTTTCAGACGCTTTCACATTTTGGACCATTGCACTTCAACCAAATCTTTATGCACTATTCCAGTTTCTGGGATTTCTCAAAATTTTCCCACTTCTGTAATACACAGATACACAGACTCACAGAGATCAGGAGATGGGAAATGGTCCATTTAGTTCAATTGCTTCAATGAAAAATAGAACTTAAGATATTGCCTGTGTTTTCAGTATGTATTCCATGAAGTGTCTATTTTCAATTGTTACTACATACATTTTAATACATTCACTCTTATGATCATAGGGGAGCTGTTCGTTTTTTCCCTAAAGGCGCTTCATCATGTACCGTAGAAGTAAGCCATCATCACTGTCTTCTCTTTACTGCACAATATATTTGGGCGCTGCTTGGTAAACCAGTACGGTGTGATCTGATGCTTTACGAACATGTGGTGTGATTGTCAAAATCAAACAATAAAAGAAAGGAAATGGTTTCCCAAACGGGGCATACCTAGATTGTCAGAGACATGACCATAACAAGTGCGATTTTTCCATCCTATTGATGGGACTCAAATCAGATCAGCTTGTCTTTATATGTTCTTTCATTTATTTTTATTTTCATTATTTCAGCTAACAGTTTCATATGAAGTTCCTTCATTGTTGATTCCTGTGGCATCAGTAAGGGTTCCAGTCTTATCTGAGATAATACTTCATCACGTTTTTAGTTTCACTCTGAATAATGAAGCCTTTTGTTTAAAACATTTCTCAAATTTCTCTTATATGTCCAGGCGTTACAACCTTTTACTGAAAGCTTGCTGCTACGCGGGTTAGAAGCGTTTGCGAAATTCGCTCGAGGCTACACAACTATGCAACCTATTCATATTGAAACTGTGAAAAGTGACCAGTGATATCTTGGACTCTTATAGTCTTATAGTCTTATCATAAGACTATTATGCTTTCCTTGAAGTATAACAAAGCATGTTGAACCTCAGCTGCTGACACGAACCTGCGCTGCAAACTCAGTTTCTGACATGGCTGACTGTATATCTCAACACTTGGTGTGCGTTTGGCAGAACTTACATAAGAGACCAAGGACTCTATGAAGATATAAAGAAGCTACGGAGCATTAGTTCCAGTGCCTAGGAGACTAGGTTGTTTTAAGCTTTAAATAAGATATTAGTTCTCGTACATGTTTTCATCTGGAAAGCTCATCCCATGAAGGAAACAAACTCCCACATAGTAACTTTTTATTTTGTTCCACTAATGCCCACGTTATTATGTTACATAATCAAGTCTTCAATCATTATCGATCTTTGTTTTTATGGAGTATTAGACTATTAGTTACTGAATTCTTAGTTTTAGCAAACAATTTTATTATCAATTAGAGCTATTGAACTTTTATATTGCAGTGATAAGTCTGTATTATAACACGCATTTGATGTTTGTTGAGATCGGCTTTTGATGTTTTTTCTAGCTAAAATGTGTCACAAGTCTCCTAATTAGCTCAAGTCATATATTACCGGGTTTTGGTTCGTGTTTGGTATTTTTGGAGTCAAAATCAGGGAATTTAAGCCCGAAACCGGTGTTTGAGAAGTAATCAGGAGGATTAGAGACACATTTGAGAGTGATTGAGAAGTATTGAAGGTCCACGGGTCATTAATGAAGACAAAAGATCTCTAGGATTGATAACGGGATCAGAAGAAGACGAATAGAGCTTGAAAACGACGATCATGATGATGTTCTGTCAATCATTCAACCATATCTTTTTGCATAAACATTCAAAGTACACGATTCAAAATCCATATGAAAGATAACTTAAATGTCTACAATTCATATGAAGACACCATGACGAAAATATGAGAGGATCAAGGTGAAAAACACACGATGAAGTCAGATAATTGTTGTAGAGATTTCAGGATGCGACCTTCCACCATTTTACTCATATCTTTTAATTGGATGAAACAATTCTAGTTTTGCAAGTTCTGGTGAATATAGGACTTCATTCTCTACAACTTTTGTGATGCAAGCATAGTCACATTCAGACATAAAAGATGCACGCCGTACGCCCCACGCCGTGCCTGGAAGATGAAACACAGAGAGACACCACTGGAGACCGGACACGTCGTGCCTTCAAGGGAGGCACGCCGTGCCCGACATTTTTTTTTGCTACTGGTGCTCCGGAGGCACAGACGCCATACACGCCGTGCCTGCCCCCAAAAATCCCGATTTGGCTCGAATTCCTCCGTTTTCTATTTAAACAACTCGTAAACCCCTGTTTTCAGGTTATGGAGCTCAGAGAGAGGCCTAGAATGATATTTTGAGTACTTTTTCACTTTGTTATTCAAGACTCTGGGATTATTTGTAAGTTCCATCTTTTTAATTAATGACAATTAATTCTTTTCATCCCAATTCTGTTGGTTGTTCAATTATGAATTGTAAGTAGTTTTAATTAGGGATTTGAGAATGATGAAGGGGTTAATCATGAACTAGAGTTAATTTCTTGATGGTTTAATTGCATGATCTTTACTTAATTTGTGTTTGAATAGTTTAATTGATATCTTTTGTAACCTGGAAAGGCCACTAGGATTATGATTGCATATAGAATAAATTAAGAGAGATCTAATTTATTCTAGGACACCTTCATACACACTTAATCGTTCGGTAAAAGATTAGTAACGGTTAGTGAGCCATACGCTTGCTCGTTTTAGCAATAATTTAGATATATGTCACATGAGAGATCATCTTGGTTCCCTAAATTATTGTACTCTACGCCGCGAGAGCGGTTAGAACTTAGTATTGATTAGTGTTGCTCAATTAAATAAATTTCATGTGATTAAGCCTCATCAGACAGAAATTCGATTACCCCGGAATCAATCATTGCTCCATGTCGTCATTAATTAGAAAGAACTCATTAGTTTTTTTTCTTTTATTGCATTTTAATTTTCCAACAACCCAAATCTCGCACAATTGCATTTACATTACTTATTTTTATTGATTAATTTTATTTAATTCTAGTTCTCCTTTTCCGTCCTTGTGGAGACGATACCCGTACTTATACCTTATACTGATACATATTTTTAGTGTGAGAAAACTCACATCATGCCGCAAATGTTAAGCCTTCACAAGATATTTCTAGTTCTACGTTATATCGTTAATGTCTTGCACACCAATGGAATACAGCAATTTGTAGTTCTACACTACGTTATAAACTTCATTCAAATTTTGTAGACTAGCAATTTGGAATATTCATCACACCTCAAGCCAGGGGGAATTGATTGAATGGACAAATGGATCCAAAAAATTGATTGAATGAACAAAATAATCCAACCCGACCTAAAATGGTTTCCCCATTTTTCAGGGTTTTGTTGAAACTTTTAAGAAGAAAAAAGGAATTCAAAAATAAAAAGTGCAATGTATAAATCTTTATATAATATAAAGTAACATTGGGATCACAACTATTTGAGGGAAAATTCTCACCCAATTAAAAAGGGATAAAAATGAAAATTCAATTGTAAGTGTCATTCAAGTTGTCAATTAATATACGGAGTATGCAAAAAGTCTTATTACCATATATATCACCATGTTAAACTGCCAATTGCATCTAAATTGTTCAATAGCCAAATGTATAAAAAGTGCGGGCCAAACAAAATTGAGTGCAAAATGGAAAATAAATATATATTAATATTAAGGGCAAAGAAAGTACTTGCCATGTTTAAAACAATAAATAATTTATTTGTTTTACATGTTAACAATGCCTAAAATAATGTTATAGATACATTATGCAAAATTAATGAATAATTACTACTACATAAATACAAATAATGATGATGATGATATTTATATCTTTATTTTTATCTTTATTTTGTTTATATAATACACCGTATAAGGTACTTTGTAGTAAATTAGTTGCTATCAGCCTATCACTTTTGACTCCAAACTGAAATTACTTTTCCATGTTAAATGCATTCCCAATATTCATTTGTCTTGATTCTAATTTTATTTAAGGAATATTGAGTCCAAGTGTCATGTATGAATATGAACCAAAATTCCAAGGAACAAAATAAATTTTGAAAGAAAAATAGTAAGTAATAATCTTAATTTGAGTCATAAATATGTAATTATTTTTATAACTTTTAGGAATACAAAAGGAAGTAATTGGTTAATTCGTATCTTTATATAATAGATAGTATAAAGTAACACTGTCTGCACAATTGTTGGAAGGAAAAATCACACCCAAAATAAGGTCATTATAGGAATTTTAATGCTGCCCAAAATAAGGTCATTATTATAGGAAAAATTGTCGCCCAAAATTATTTTAGGAATAATGCCGCACAATTTCAGAGCACTCTTGGTATTAATAAGTGTGGCATAATAAGGAAGGAATAATGCCGCACAATCTGAATAATGTCGGTCAACACTTAGGAATAATGCCGGCCAACTTAGTAACATTTTTGTTTCCTTTTTATAATTATAGATAGTAATTGCTCCATATAATAGTAGGTAATAATAATAATAATAATAATAATAATAATAATAATAATAATAATAATACACTGAATTCATGTGTTTTAATTTTATGGAAATTATAGTCTAATTATTTTGTTTATGATTTATATCTATCAACCAAATTCAACAGTTTGATCATCAAAATTTAAAAATTTCCGAGCTAAATAATATTTTTATGATGATGTTATATTAATTTTCAAAGGTGAAAAAAGTGAGTTTGAATGGTTTACGTTCAAACAAAATTAAGATCTAAACATTCAAACCAATAGTTGATACTAGCGAACAAAAGAGTGATCATGGATTTCATTCCCGGTTATTTTTTATAAAATGTTTGTTACTTTTGTGATTAAAGTAAATTGTTTTCGGCTAACAAATGAAAAAAGATTTATATGATACCGGTTAACCTGAGTTTTAAAACATTCTTAATAGCATCCATTCATGATCTTTAAATAAACGGTTTCTCTATTACACATAATGTCACATCCCATTTATTTAATAAATTTTAAATAATCTCAAAGCGATCACTCTGAGTTTTTAAAACTGCACAAACTCCATCACTTTTACTTATTGTTTCATTCATTGCGCTAAAATTTGTGCAGTAAATTATATTCTAAGATATCACCCCGGGTTAATAGTGTGCACAATAAAAAAATTACGATTTTAAAATGCACAAATTAATAGAATTAATTTTTTTATTTTTATATATACAATATTGATATCATATGAAAGATAGTAAAATACTATGGATTTTGATATATTTTTTCTAACAATCGAAGTACACATAAAAAGTTATAGTGCTTTAAAAAAATATAAATTCCACTTTTGGTCCTACGAGTATCGCACCGATTCCACAATTAGTGCACGTCTTTGACTATGACCACTTTTGATACATGAATATTGTGTTTTCGGTCATATATGATCTTTCCATCAATATTTCTGATGGTTAAAATCCTGGAAAAAGACCACAAATGGTCAAGAAAAAATTGGTCAAGAACTAAATTGGACATGAAATAAAACTCATAGAACCAAATTTGGAATTAATTTTTTTATTTTTATATATACAATATTGATATCATATGAAAGATAGTAAAATACTATGGATTTTGATATATTTTTTTTAACAATCGAAGTACACATAAAAAGTTATAGTGCTTCAAAAAAATATAAATTCCACTTTTGGTCCTACGAGTATCGCACCGATTCCACAATTAGTGCACGTCTTTGACTATGACCACTTTTGATACATGAATATTGTGTTTTCGGTCATATATGATCTTTTCATCAATATTTCTGATGGTTAAAATCCTGGAAAAAGACCACAAATGGTTAAGAAAAAATTGGTCAAGAACTAAATTGGACTTGAAATAAAACTCATAGAACCAAATTTGGAATTAATTTCTTTAAAAAATACATGTTTTTTAAAGTGTTAGATTCTTTTTATTTTTATATATTCAATATTGGTGTCATACGAAAGAAAAAAAGTTATAAATCTTGATATTATATATATATATATATATATATATATATATATATATATATATATATATTGTAACAATGAGAGTACGAAATAAAAAGTTATAGCACTTTAAAATAAACATGAGATTTTATTTTGGTGGAGGTCTTTTCTGCTCTTTGTCTTGCGTTGTTACGGTCGTTCCCCCCTCAAGCCACCAACTCAAGTGACTTTTCTCTTGATTGGGTTTACCGCATGAGTATTTTAAGAAATACTTTTAACTTGACCCTATTTTGATAAAAAAAATTAGCATTACTTTGAAAAAAACTCATTGGCCAAGCCCAATCTTAAAATAAGTTTATAAGAACATTCACTCTTATGTGTTTTTATTTCATTTATGAAAATTAGTTAACTAGTTAATTATTGAGAAAAATATAAATTTAATTAATTTATAGAGCCAAAATTTCCTTTATACATCTGATGGAATTTATAAAGAATCTAAAAGTTCATTTAGTGACTTCTGTTTTCGGCTTATCAATCTTAGCAGTCCAATTTTCATCAGACACATAACTTTTGATTTAATAATCAAAATAAGTAAGGTTGTAGTTACTTTTATTACCGAATTAGCTAAAATCACTAGAAATGATCATTCTAGCTATTTTCATATAATTTTTTCGTGACTTTATTAACAAATATATTTTAAATATTTTTTAAAAGTTAAGCAGATTCAGCCACTCCACCGAAGGTGTGGGAGCCTTTGCGGCACTGGGGTAATAATGATGACGATGATGAGGCAGATTTAGTTACTTCGGTCAGAATTTCATCAATTTTAGCAGAATTAGCCGATTCAACCAATTTTGGTGTTACCATACATGCTCTAAATAGGAACAAGATTTCACAATTTTACGTTATTTAAAAAAATACTTTAATTTTGATTGCTTAGTATATTAAAATTGTTTGATTGCTCTATATTCTATATATTGTGATAGTTATTATATACTACCTTCATCCCATTAGAAGATTCTCGTCCACTTATTTTGTTGATATATTCCTTTTTCCTACAAACTACCAATATATAATCAAGGTTACAACATATAAATAAAAGTTAATTTTAAACAAGTTATTGTTTAAAACAACTTATTCTGCTATATTTTTTGTAAATAACTGCATTTTCATATTACGTATCATCAAAATAAAAAGTAATTTTAAACAAGGTATTGCGTCTGGGTATAATAAAAAGAACAGTATGGAACAGAAAAATGGGTTATCAAATAAGTTAACATACAACAAAGTATGCAATTTTAAAAGGAAACTATGAGAACAGTATCTCTCTCACATTTGACCATAGAGGGGAATAAATGTTTTTCTTAGCCAAAGAGCAGAGCGTTATTACATAAGATAGTATTTGCTTCTTACTATATGTACAATAAGAGAATAAATTACAAAAGAAATGGATATCAAGCTGTGCATCTACCTACCTCAGGTAAAACACACTACAAGAGTCATTACATCTTACGTTACACTATTTCCTCAAACCAATTCTCATGTACACTCTCCACCCCCTTCCAAAACTGCTATTTCACAAACAGCTTTATTCAACAACACTCTACAGTCAGGCACTGCCATTACTACCATTTAGCAAGCTCCGAAGGTTGCATATGGCCTCCGGGGAAAAGCTGCAACACCTGAACCTTGGATGGCGTGTTGGAGACAGCTCAAGATGTTCAAAGGAAGTAAAACAAACAATTATCACTGTTAGATTGTCAAACGTGTTTAACCGCAGGGCCTCCATGACGAGGTCTTTTGCACATTGTTCAGGGTCATCGTGCCGCCTCAGCCCACGTCTCACAAGACTGACTGCTTCTTGACTTGACATCACATCCCATATCCCATCACAACCGATTATGAGGAACTCATCGTCCTCGGTCAGAAGAATCTGTTTCAGTTCAGGCTCTGCGATGAGAGGGGACTGAGACCCGTGAGGCAGCTTCATGTCCCAGTCACCTAAGGCCCGAGTCACTGACAGAACACCGTTCAGGTAACCATCATCGATGAAGGCACCCAACTCTTCCACTCTTGTTCTCTCTAGAGAGTAATTAGGTCTGTGGTCTTGAGACATATCAAATGCCTCCCCTTTCCTGCTAAGAACTGCTCGACAATCTCCTGCGTTCGCTACCATTAGTAGCCTGCATATACATCAAATACTCAATCATGAGGCATGAAGGACGATTGTATAGTCATTCCGCACACGTGTCAAATATAAAGATACAAACCAACAAGACTACTCATATCTGGTGATAATTGGTTTGCTATGAAGAGAAACCTAATTGTGGGACAGGTCCAACCATTCCACATTAGCCAAACATAAAACCAACATACAAATCATAGAAAGGTGTTAAGCTACTTGTAAAATTAAACCAAGGCAAAGAATGAATTATGATTTTCTCATTAGCAATACACACCCTTTGCGGCCCAATACTTTGTTTCATCTAGACCATGCATTTTTCTTATAAAGGAATGTACCTCTGATTGTGTTTCACAGTTTTGACACTTTCCGTGTGCAACTTTTAAATTGGACTATTCATTGGATTGATTTTGATACCTAATGAAATCCAGGAGTCTATCCTTAAAGATTAATCTCAAAGAAGTAGTTCAATGTCTTATATTGGTTTGTTATTCATATTCACATATTGCTCAACACCTCTTCCGTCCAAACTCAGTATTTGGACTGTGAAACATGCTCTTCTCATACACGGACGGACACATCTATCACGGCCCAATATCGGACATAACTCAACAGCGGAAAATGGAATCAAGAGGTGATGATTTCAGGGTTCGTTCACTCCACTGTTCAGCAGTACAGATTATATATAGAAGCAAAAAAATCACATGGGGCCTTTACCTTCCTAGGACAAGGGCGGTGAGTGCAGTTGTTCCAGAAGAGCTGCTAACACTACTACACTCATCAGCTAGAGCAAGGTCTGCAAGAAGAAACCCTCTGCGCAGACTGTCCTCAAGCTCTCCTAAGAAAGCATCATCCACTCCCTCACAAGTTTGGGGAAAGTTAGCATCTTTGAAAAAGAATCTTATGGCATTCTTTCTGACATAAGATGCCGCTTCAGCTCCTCCATGCCCATCAAATATCTGCAGTGATTAAATCCCATCAAATCACACCAAAATCCAACTACATGATCAATCGCATGAAACCAGTTCAATTCAATCACACAGATGATTAGTTACCCCATAGAAAGCGCTGGGTTTTGGAAATGTGAAGAGTGAGCCCAGATGCGTAGACAGATCATCTATTCTGATGTGCTCATCTTCCATGTATCTTCTTGGCCCAATATCTGAAAAACTGCCAGACCGGATGCTTGGAACGAATTGCAAAACAGCTGCTGCATCCTGGGGTTTAACATCCTGCCAGCCAAATAAAGAAGCTACCTTTTATCAATTTCCAAACGGCGCCATGGCAAGATCAATCCTTAGATCAAAGGGTTCAAAAATAAGACCAAAGTGTAAATCAGCTCTAAGCTGATTCCGAGCTCAAACGAACCCTAAATCGAAGCAGAGGATTGGATGCAATTAAATAAAACCAAGAAAACCATTCAGCTTAAGAGGATAGATATACTTCGTGTATAATCTGAAAAGTGAAAAATGAGCAGAGAGGAATTAGAGGAAAGACGGACCATGTCAGAAGAGGGGACATCCAACACAAGGATGCTCTTTTGCACTACAATCTCGCCTTCGGCTACCATCTTCTCCTCCTCCTCCTCCGCGTTTTTTCCGTTTTTCTTTGGGTTTCTGAACACTCACAATAATTGCCCAGAACAAATTGAATGAATCAGCTACTGCTGCTGCTGCTGATGGGGGAATTGGTGTCCTTATTACTCTGGCTTCGATTAATCGTGGGCGGAAACTGGAAAGGGAATCTTCTCTGGTTCTTCTCGAGTAATATGACAAAGAAGAAAATAGTAGAAGGGGATGAGAATTTCGGGAACGTTCTTGGTTAAAATTTTCAACAGCGAAGCAACGGGAGGATTGGGTGGGTGGGTGGGGCGATGACATTTCTTGAGCTCTTAAAAAAGGAGTGCAGTTGACTTCTGACATTGTGGATGGTGCGCTACTTCGCCACATGTGTGATGGCTGAGAAATAGAAAAATGATGTTTGTACACACTTTTGTATACACTTATGTCTGTGAAAGCTTTTTTTTTATCTGTGAACATCGATTCACAGACAATGTTTTGCACAAACAAAATATTGTCTGTGAACCAGATTCACAGACAAAAAAAAAGCTTCACAAACATGGTGTGTACAAGATGTTTACAAGGGTGTGTACATCAAGAATGGTTGTAAGAAATATGTTCACGATCACTGTTTTCCTCACGAACCCAGGTTGACAAATTTATTGAAATGATTGACCCATCATGAATTATTACCCCTTGAGTAAATGATCTTCAATTTCGGATAACACTAGTAAGAAAGTGATTACCGTGAATAAAATTCATGTTATTGATAATTTAAAATCATATAAATATTACTACATTCGTTTCAAAATACTATTATTTTCAAAATTTTGATCAACTCTATTTTTTTATAAAAAATTATTTATAATATAATTATATGAAAATGTTCTTTGTTAAAAGTATTTTCATAAAAGTATAAAATTTATAACTTTCACAATATTATACTACGTACTAATTAAAATGTTGGTTCAAATTTTATGAAATGGCAAATTTAATCTATGGACAACCTCATTGACACATATATATGGGTACATTTTATAGTACACCTTATCCCTTACCATCATACGAAGTACTTTTTTAGTTGGGCATCCCCGTCCATTAATATGTTTAAGATTATCTAGATGATATGTCAGAATATTTTAGAATTTACGTGTTATAATAATAGTAAATATTTTGAAATCTAGTATTAAAACTAAAATTCTTGAATTATTCTAGATTTTAATTAGAATAGTTAGTGTTTTTTGCAACATTAAAATGAAATTGAATTAGTTAAATTTACTAAAATTGTTAAAGTTCTGATTAAAGCGGTTGAATTGGTCGAATTGTGGAAAAAATATTTGATTGATAAAATAAAGAAAACATTAGAATAAACAGGTAAAGTGATCATCTACAACCACTTCAGTCAGAAGTTCTTCAAGCAACTTTCATGTATAATTAACTTCAGTTTTACTTATTTTAAGTTGATAAGCTAAATAGGCTACAAGATGAGCATTTAATACAAGTACAAGAAAAAATAATTATTTAAGTTTCACTGTTGATTAAGAAATTTGATATTTGAGATGATTTAAAATTTGTTGCATGACATTAATGTGGTAACTAGGTCTAACGAAAAACGAGTTATTTAATGAACATAAATGGATGTGTTCTTATACTTTTTCTTGTTCGTCTTTCAATTTTACCTTACTCGTCAATTGCCAAAACATAAACACAACAAACAATACCTACTATCAAAGATTCACAATAATAAGAGGGAACAATATAGTGATGAAGTATCTGAGAATATTTGTGAGGAAATGCGGTGAAGTATTGCCTTAGACATTATCTCTCAATAAATGAAATGTGCATTCTTATACGGTGACACTGAGTATGTGGAAGTTCCTCAAATAAGACTAAATCGGCCCTTCAATTCTTCCCGAAATAGAAGTAATTTGACAGTATTTATTGTCATCTTGTAATTAATACTGTCAAAATTACGGGATTTACACAGAATTTGGCATGGATTTACCGATTTTTCGTGCCAAAGTGTTTTTGGCATGAATTTGACATATCCTTGTCAAAATCTCTGTCAAATTCATGTCAAAATCTCTGTCAATCTTATGTTTTTTTGTAGTGATGGACACCAGAGAACCACGAATATTAGAAGGAAATTGCCTAAATAGGAGTAAACAGATTTTGTAATTTCAAAACAGGGTTGCTATATGTTTTTCACTTATGACAGTACCAACTCCTAATTCGAGAAGAATAACATATAGCAGCCCTATTTTGAAATTATAAAACCTGTTTACTCCTTTTTAGGCAATTTTCCTTCTAATATCTGTGGTTCTCTGGCGTCCATCACTACAAAAAACATAGGATTGACTAGGGGTGGGATTTTGGAACCGGGAACCGTAGAATCGGTTGGAACCGAACCGTTATAACCCGGTTCGGTTCCTACAAATGTGGTATTAGTTGTTAACGGTTCGGTTCCTAGTTGTTATTAACGGTTCGATTCCTGGTTCCTATAAAAAATATGTGCACGAAACTGTTAAGGAATCATTATTAAAAAAAATAGTAGTGATAGTAACTCAAATAACTGTTAGTTGATTGCATATATTTTACTTCACTATCTTCATGATATTTGTAACTATTAGATTTATTGTAAATTATACTACTAGCAAATAGACTGCAATGATAATTCTATAACTATACATGCAAACTCAATATATATTTTTAAGTTTTGAAATACTTGGAGTGGACGTCATATATATCTTGTTACCGTGATGATGAACAACCTTCCTGATGGATTATAGGTATCCAAGTATATGTAAAATGGGAGAGATTGAGCTTAATAATGTGGAGAAGAAGATGAATAGTGTTATTGAGAGTTATGTTCTAGGGTTACAAATGGCTCCAAGAGGAGTATAAATAGGGAAATAATGGGCCGGGCCGCTAATATGGGCCCGGTAGCCCAACTACATAAAAGACTAATCTAGTACATAGTTACATACAAATGACATATAAGCAGTACAATAATACAAATGATATCCGTAAGATGTGTGTGGGCCGCTGTCCGGGCCCAATAGTCATGAGACCCGGGGGTCTGAGTCTATATACTCTATCAGGAGTCCCCCACTCTCTGAGTCGAGAGTATTCGAGGCGAAAGAGAGTAGAACTGTGTGCTGATCTGTCGTCGTCTGGTGAGTAAACTTCGTGAACAAAAATTTGAATTTCTGCTTCTTTGGTTAACGGAGGCGCTAAGTCCCCCGCTCTTCCAGTCCCCCATTCCTTGAGGCGAGTGTAATGAGGTGAAGAGGAGTAGAGTAATGCGTGTCGGATGATGTCTTCAACAGGGGACCGAGGGTTGACACCTTTTGATCCACGATGGGGAGATGCCTCGTTAAAAACCTCATTAGGAAAAACCCTGTGGGAAAAAATCCTAATGAGGGAAAAAGAGTACACCGGATGCCCCCAAAATGAAACAAAAGGTGCGAACCCTTCGGCCTAGAGATGGAGCTGCAACGGTGCCCGTCTGCTGGGGGGGATGGTCGATGCCGATCTCTAGATGTGGGTAGCTCATCATGATGAGTAGTCCTAGTCATCAAATAAAGATGACTAAGAGATAGGTCGAGTGACCGTCCATAATATGATGTCCGGGTCATCAAATAAAGTGACCGAGACGTGTGGCCGAGAGGTCTATAAGAAGTCCAAGCCATCAAATAAAGATGAGCATGAGAGACGGCTAAGTGGCCGGTATGATGTCATCATATAGTTGCACCTATGCATTCAAATAAAATTGTTATAATTTCTTGAGCTTATAATTTGCTATTGAATTGGGGCCTAAATCAAGTTGCCTCAAATTTCCAAGTTGCAGCTCAAGCTAGGTTTCTATGCTTAGTTGGAGCATGACACGCATAAAGGATTGAACCTACCGCTGGGGATTGCAGTTCATTTCCGATAGTTAGAGGGCACACATAACTCATACATAACATAGAAACTACCGTGTGTATTAGATAACATTTGGATTGAGAGCTTACCATCCACACTCGTTTGACGTGACCCGGTGGCGTGAGTGTCTGTGCTCGCTCGGTGTACGCGAGTGCTCGGAATTTCATAAGTCCGTTTTTCAATGTCAAAAAAATACACACTATTTACAAAAAATGATGGTAATAAATTAATAATCTAGCTTAACTTGCCACTCAAGTTCGTAGCTGGGATCCGCTAGACGCTATTTACGAGTCTTTTCACGGATGACTTGCCCTCGAGATTGAAGTTTGATGTTATATTATTAAAATATTTCATTTATGACCTTTTGGAAGTCTTCAAAAGTAATGATAGTAAATTAATAATCTAGCTCAACTCGTCACTCAAGTTCGTAGCTGGGATCCGCCAGACATGCGCATTTAAGGGTCTTTTAACGGATGACTCGCCCCTCGAGATTGAAGTTCGATGCTATATTATTAAAATATTTCATTTTAATTTTTTTTTGCATTTTTGAATCAATTTGTGAAATTGACAAATTATATTAAAATTAGAGAGAAACACTTAGCTTTTGTTGGGCTGAAAATAAGGGACCGTGAGGGCCATTGGAGAAATTGAATCCTTACTCCTTATTGAGGAGGCCCACCAATAATTTTGACCAACCTAACTTAACTCATGTTGATCGACTGCTAAAGATTTGGCCCCCTAGGTTTGGTATGTGCGCAGCAGCCGTGTCTCCAAATTAGATCTCAAGTAGCACTCTTCAACTGTAGCTCATCCAGGGCAGCAGCTCAGCAGCGACTGAGGATGGTGACGGCGCAGCTCTCTCAGGTGGTACCAGCGGCAAAGTTTCCGCAAAGACTGTTACCCTCCTCAGGCGAACCCAGCGGCAAAGTGGAAACCACAGGGAACGAGGTCGTGGGACTCCGGCAGCACCTGAGAAGCTTCGTCAGGCGACGGACGATACGCTCTTCAAGTTGAGTCATAGGGGCGCACTGATTTACAATCTGTTACTCATAGAGCTCGTAGCGGCCATTAATGGCGGGCAGAGATTTGGATCAGCGACTTTGTAAGGTGGATGGGTGAGGCGTGAGCGGGCCAGGTCGGGCCGAGAAGCCTGTTGTACTGCTGTACTGTTTCATCCAGGAGTGGGCTGCTAGATCATCGCAGCGACGCCGCAGGTTGCCGGTCCGCATCAGGCCAGCTCGCTTCCGCTGGTTCGAGTAGGGACGCTTCCCTTTCACTGTGACTGCTAGGGTTGACCAATTCTGCCGAAAGTCTGGATAGCCGGAAAGCTGCAGATCTGGAAAATTTTCTTCTTCTTTTTTTGGATTTTCCAGAACACTTTTG